CCCCATATCACTGCTGTGTGTGGAGGGGGTGTAGAGGACATGGGGGGGGGGGGCTGGTTGTGGGGGGGTTGCAATGCAATTTATGATCCCTCTGATAAGATCTGATAAAATTTCCTGGGCTCTCTGGAAATTACATTTCCATAACTGTGAGCGGCAGTGCTGCCTGCCTTTATGGCGGCGTTTATTGCAATAATAAACTGCAACGGGGAGCTGGGGGGTGGGGGGTGAAAGGGGCTGCGGGTGTGGGATTGGGACCCCCTGCACTGGGTTGTGAAGGAGGTGATGCCCCCTCTTTATGCTCTGCCTCCCCCCCCCAATACATCTCTCCATAGCGGTGGGGAAACTGAGGCACAGCCATAATGGGGGGCACTGGGAGGTTGGGGGGGCACTTGGCCTCAGACCCCCTCCCACATGAACTCTTTGCCCATTGGCCAGCACTGGGGCTGTGGGGGGGGGGGTCCATGGCGTATTCACCACACACCCACGGGTGCCCACAGCCCCCCTCCCCGCCGCCCCTGCTCTGTTATCTCTCTGCTTCTCCTGTCCCTTTTCCCGGAGCCCAATGAGTCACACAGCCCCTCTCCTTCCTCTCCTCCCCTCTATTGTACGTTTCCCTTCACTCTCAGCCACAGTTTTCCTTCTCCCATCTTTTCTTTGGGGGGGGGGGAGGGGCACATCTCTCCCTGTGTCCCCCTACCCAAATCACAGCAAAGCCTGCAAAAACGGGAAAGCCAGAAAGAAATATGTGGGGAAAGAGGAGCAGGAGGGAAAAAAATAATAATATATACTAAAAAAAAAGAGTCCTTTTGGGCGATGAAATATTTATCAGTGTGTGTGCAGGGCGTGCTAACAGCGGGCTGGGGGGGACAGAGCTGAGCCCCCCCTCCACCACAACAGTGGGGTGGTTGGGTGTGAGATGAGGTCCTTTGGGTCACAGAGTGAGGCTGGAAGCAGAGCTGCTGCCATTTGGGGGGGCTGAAAGGGGGGGAAATTGGAGGGGGGGTGAGCCGGTATCGTCATCAGCCGCTCCGTGCAACCGGCAATGCATGCACATGTGCATGGCTGAGCTACAGCTGGGAGCACAGCAGCGAGCAGCGAGGAGCAGCGCTGCCTCGCAGGGCACGGTGGTGCTCCGTGCTCACTTTGCACGGGGGTTTTGCACACCAGCAGCGTTTGTCGCACTCATTCAACCCCCTCCTGCAGGTGCACGCAGCTGCAGGGAGCCACCTGGCTGCACACCTGTTGCAGCTGCACACGCAGAGCCGTGCACGTTGCACGCCACAAGTTGCATGCCTTGCACTCCGCCTTGGGCGCGTTGCGTGTTCGTTGTGCATCGTTGTGCATCGTGCACGTCATGGTGCATTGCACGTTGCTGCGCCGCATCACCCCGCCACTGCTGCATTAGCACCCGAGCTGCGCCCACGAGATAAATGGGAGCTGTCAGCTGCACCTTGTTTGCTGCTAACCTTTGGAAATGCCACACCGCCCCAGGCTGCACCCGCAGGGATTGTCGCTCAGCACCTCCAATTAATCTCCCAGCACTAACGAAGGCAGTGGGGTGACAGGAGCCCCCCCAGTCCCCCGTGATCTCAGCGCTGCTGTGGGGTGGGCTGTGCTATGGGGAGGTTTGGGGGTGCTCCTCTCCCCGTGGATCCTGCAGCCCTCGGCACCAAGGTGACCGCGGCTCTCCGGGGAGCAGCGCTCGGCCTCGCTGCTAAATAGGATGTGAGCAGCCATCAGGGCTGCTGCTGCGAAACCAAATTGGTGTCGACACCCAGAGGGCTCCCGGTCCCTCTGCTGTCACCCCCAGAATCTCCCCCCCGACCCCCCATAGCTCTGTTTGTGCTCTGCACATGTGTGTGGCCCTGCAGTGCACGTGGAGCTGCAGGCAGCGGCACAGTGCTGCCCTGGGTATGGACACACATGAGTGTGCAACGGTGACAGCTGACCCAGAGCCATGTGAGGCACCCTGCGCACACCCACAGGCTCTCTCCCCTCTGCATGCACTCTGTTGCACTCGCATGTGCTTGTGATGCACCCCAGCCCCCGTAGAACAGCAGCATTAGCATTGCATGTGGGGTGCTGCTGGAGCTGCCCTGCATGCTGGCGGGAGCAAGGGGGGTGACATTGGTTGGCTGCTGCTGGGGGATTTGTTCACCGCGCCCCTTCCCTGTCATCACCCCAAACCTGAAGGCTCTCAGCTTTGCCCCTCCTGGGGGGGGTTTGAGGCTGTGGGAGGGGGGGCGGAACGTGCTGTTCTCACACTGTGATCGATCAGCCCGGTGTGTTGGATGGCACAGTGCTGCTCTGCAATTCCCTTTCATCGCCCTCCTCCCCCAACATCACGAGGGAATAAAGGGTTGGGGGGAGCTGCTGGCCTGATCCCCCCTCCCCCTAAGACAGCTGGAGGGGCTGTGGGGTGATCTGAGGGCCCAGCATTCGTGCAACCCAACCACATCCCCATCCCCAGCGCATCTCCATCACACCCCACCCCAACCCTGACCCCATTAACCCCCCACCCCTGGCCCCACTGCCCCCCATCCCTGACCCCATTACCCCACACCGCTGACTCCACTCCCCTCATCCCTGGCCCTATCGCATCACATCGTCCCCCATCACCACCACTAGGAACCCAACATGGGGGTGCTGGAGAGGATTGGAAGTGGAAACTGATGAAGGAAAGAGGGCCTGGGGGGGATCCTTTCCATGTCCCTCTCTGCTGCTCAGGGCCATCTATCCCCACTGCGAGGCTCTGCCCCCATCCCCCCCACCCCCCTGTGCTCATTTTGCAATGATTCTGTCACCATCCCCACAGTGGGACACAGCGGCTCCCAGTGCTGATGCATATAAACAGGGCTGAATGATGGAACGCAGCCCGAGGGGGGGACACAGCCCCCCCTGGAATGGCTGTGTGTGGTTTGGGGGCCGCCCTCCCCCTCTCCCCTATTCCCTCTCCATCTCCCTGCCCATTCCCCCCTCCTCCCCTCCTGGTGGTGAAGGCACCCGGCTTTGAAGCTGCGCTGAAATATAGATAAGGGCAAAGGAAGCAGCGGAGCTCAGAGAGATGGGAGCGGATGCGGGGGGACGGCAGGGCTGAGGAGGGTCTGTGGGGCTGCAAGGGGCTGCACCGTGTGGGGCTGAGCCTTGCAGCCCCCACACAGCGCCCGCCAGGCTCAGACCCCACAAACTCATCACCTGCACTGCCACTGAGTGGGGCTGTGTGCCTCTGTCATGGGGTCGGATGGGGATGCTGCTCAGGGTGTGCTGTGCCGTGCTGTGCTGTTCCATGGCCATGTTGTGCCATGCTGTGCTGTGCCATGCCGTGTTGTGCCATGCTGTGCCATGCTGTGTTGTGCCATGCTGTGTTGTGCCATGCTGTGTTGTGCCATGCTGTGCCATGCCGTGTTGTGCCGTGCTGTGCCATGGCCGTGTTGTGCCATGCTGTGCCATGCCGTGTTGTGCCATGCTGTGTTGTGCCATGCTGTGCCATGCCGTGTTGTGCCGTGCTGTGCCATGGCCGTGTTGTGCCATGCTGTGCCATGCCGTGTTGTGCCGTGCTGTGCCACATTGCGCTGTGCAGTGGCTGTGCTGCTCCATGCTGCGCTGTGCCGTGCCGTGCCGCGCTGTGCTGTTCTCAGCTCTCCATGCTGTGCCATGCTGTGCTTCAGCTGTGCCATGCCGTGCTGCGCTGTACCGTGCCACGGCTGTGCCTTGCCTTGCCGTCTGCATCACTCTGCATAGCACAGATGTCTCCCAGCACAGTTCAGCTCCACGGGTTGGGGGGGGTCGGTGTGCAATGCCTCCCCGATCCTGGAGCTCTGCCCCCCCCAGTGCACCCCCCCCTCACTGTCTGCCTTTGGCAGCACCCGGCGCTTCTCTGACCCCGGGAACCCACCCAGCTGCTGCCTCCCTCCCCCTCCCATCCCACCCCCCCCGGGTGCTGCTCGGGGTCGCCCCCCCCCCGCCCCCCCCGGCACCTGCAGCGCGCAGTGACAGTGATTGACGAGACCGAGCGGCCCCGCGCGCAACGGGAGCAGCTGGCGGGCAGCGGGGGCACGCAGCGCTGAGCCGGGGGGGTCAGGGGGCTCAGCCCAGGGGAGGGTGGGGATTGGGGAGGGGTTTTTGTGTGTGTGGTGTGGGGGGGGGGGGGGATGACACATGCCACGCGGCGTTCTGTTCGTCCCAGCGCAATTTATTAGAGAGGAGCGGCACCCCCAACCTGCACAGCGCCCGGCTCTGTGCTGCAGGAGCTGGGGGGAAGGGTTCGGTGCTGGGGCTGCTGAAGGAGCTTTTCCCCCATCCCCCCCCCCGCCCCTCCGCGGCCCCCCCCCCCCCCCCCCCCCGCAGCCCGGTCTGTCCGCTGCAATTATCCGGGGGGGCGGAGCGGCTCCGCAGCCTCCCGGCGGGGGTCTCTCTGTAATTCGGCTGCGGATCAGAGGCGCTGCGTAATGCAATGAGGCGCTCCTGGCGGGCGGCTCTGCTGTTCCCCCGCCGCCACCCAAACCTTGAGCTGCTGCCCCACCCCCCCCCGTTCTGAAGGAGCTCAGCTGGTGGGGAATACTGAATTGTTGGGCTGTGGGGCAGCGGTGGTGCCAGGGAAGGGCCCTGCTCTCTATTGGGGGCGTTTGGGAGCACCGAGCCGGGCTTGGGGGAGGATGGGGGGGCATGGGGGGGGGGGGGGGGGGGGGGGGGGAAGGACGTGAGGTGCAGGATGGGTGTCCAGTGTGTAGGGGAGTGCATGGGATGGGATGGGATGGGATGGGATGGGATGGGATGGGATGGGAT